GCACTATCTTTTCGCAGCCTCCGCTCATTTCATTCAAACGCGACAAAAACTTAGGCAATTTTTTGGTCAGAAGTTCTTTTCAGACTAATGAGCAACCAGGCACTTTTAAATGCGCTCGTGCACGATGCAAAACGTGTCCTTTCATTCACAACACTGATAAAATATCGGGACCTAAACGATCCATTAAGATCACCGATCACTTCACGTGCACCTCCGCTAATGTAATCTATTGCATAACTTGCACTTATTGCAAAAAGATATACATCGGCGAAACAGGCAGAAGACTAGGTGACCGATTCCGAGAACACCTTCGAGACGTGGAAAGGAATGACAAGGACACATCGAAACCAGTCGCTAGACATTTTAATTTACCTAATCATTCTAAGCAACATATGGCAATCTGCGGTCTTTCCTTGCACTTAGGTGGCACGGAAAGCCGTAAAAATCTTGAACAAAAGCTCATCTTTCAAACCGGCAGTCTAAATCCCACAGGGATCAATGAACGCTTTTCATTCCACTAATTTATTCATGTTTTTCTCGTTGCCATGCACCCACCAATAACGTAGCTCCATTTTCTGCCTTTAAAAGCACACACAACCCACAATTCCTCTATTCGCTCCGACGAAGGGCTAACGCTCGAAACGTCAGCTTTTGTAATCATTACGGTGGCCAATTTACCATTTCAACTTTGTTGATATATCCAAATTATTTCGTTACTCCGACCGACGCAGCCCCAAACAGTTTCTTTCGAAACTATCAGCCTTTATTCATTTGTAGAAATTGATCGGTTAGGAGTTGAATGACTGCAACCCTTTTTTTTGGAATTTAGTGGATTTTTTTTTGCATCTCTTCCTTTGTCTCTAAATTTTGTTTTTAAAGTTGTTCGTTGTTCGATAGAAAAAGAACGAATCAAGAGGCTGCATTCATTTTCCTTGTTTCCCTTTTGTTTAAAGGGAAACAAAGACAACAGACCTAGAGTCCTGTACTTGAGTCGAACATTATTTTCAAAATTCCACTCTGGTGTATAATTTCTTAATGAAGGCGCGTTCCTCCGAATTTAATGGGCAATTTTTGTTTCGTTTGTGTCTGATATTGAAATGAAAGGGTTCCCACTTACAAAACATAGTCATTTTTTTTTTACCTTCGAGGTAGCAAATTGCATGTTTATTTAACTGAGTTGTAATATGCAAAGAAAGCCCAACACAAAATGAAAATCACCCTCGGGAAAGCTTTAGAGCTTTCCAATCTTTCTTTCGTACCATGACCTGTGCGTGCCCAGGTGAAAGCGATAAAGTTGGCCAGGATACGAATGATTGATTTAAAAAGAAAAAAGTTATCAGAGATTCAACTTTGCGAATTAAATTATCAGAGGTAACAGCTTCGTAATAACTTTTTTTTCAATCACATTTCCCTGCACAATTGGCAACCATTTAACTTAGTACTTCACTGAATACATTTTAAGCGATTTTTAAAAACTTTAAAATGTGTTTTCTAGAGCCTACGGGCCATCAGCTGGAAAAAACGAGTAAGACCTTTACTACCCTCGCTGGACTATAATGGCATATTCTTCTCCCAGAAAATTTTACATTGCCCTTACCTCCCCCACCCCCGATATGCTTTGGCTGGTGTCCATTTAACTGAATGCTGAGCGGAGCCGCAAATGAAACGTTCAACGTTAAACGTTCCACGTACTGTTTTTTTCCAGTTTGTGCATTGAAAAGGGAAGAAAACAATGACACTAGCTAATGTGAACAAACCGGCTTTAATGATGAGATGGTCCTGATTAGTAGCTTTGTTTAAAACACGAACGTCAAACAAACATGTCTTTATGTGAACTATGATCCTCCTAGGTTAAATTATTTTCAATGAACCTGCGGCTAGAAGCGTGCAAAATACATGTAGCATGAATTTTAGTGTTTCTTATGACACAACAACCACGCATTTGGACAAAAGTCAAATTGACGTGTTTAAACCGTGTGATCCATGTGAAACTTGTCACCAAAATCAATTTTACTTATTTACTTGGACTTCCAATTTCGCTGAATGTTTTGTGGCTTTTTTCTCTTGTATGTCCTGTGGAGTTATTTAGTAATTCCTTTGAACATTAGTCGTTCCCCATTCGATTTATGAAAGAGGCTTGAAAGACCCGTAAAACGGTAGGGTACCTGCAAACGTCCCTTCAGCTCTCTATAATGCTCTTTTTTATCTATTCAAGGTTTAGGTTATAAAATATTTTGGTTGAGGGAAACGAGCGGAAAAACAAGTGGATTTGTTTAAATGAGACTAATGTGACATAAGGAGTCGAATGATAGGTTAATCAAATATTCATAACAATTTTGACCTAGGGCGCGTCCTGTATTTAGCTTTCAACAGGTGTTTGTCCACACTGCGCATGAGCAAAATACTCTTAAACAGAAAAATTTAAACTAGTGTCGTGAATGAGATGATCCAGTTAAATTTGTAACTGTTCAAACCCTGTGCGAGTCCAATTTGAGAAGCGACCCGTCGAAACTGAAAGAAGGACTCGTCTTGAAGATAAATCTCTTTCTTTGGGCTTGGCAAAGAGAAGAAGTTTCGTCGATAAAGGAAGAGTCGACGAGACTAACTGGTTTCGCAGACTATATCAACACAGTAAATTTATTCGGGCGTTTCTTAAATGGCTGACTTGTTACGTTGCTTGACTAGAAGGAAAAGAATTACTCGCGAGGAGAAAACAAACACCGAGTTGTCAAAATGTCTTACAACGTGGGATTTGACATCTCTCGGGATTGGGGCAACACTGGGTGCAGGAATTTATGTTGTCTCGGGACAAGTTGCTGCTAGTATTGCGGGACCGGCAGTGATAATATCATTCGCTCTGGCGGCCGTTACATCTATCCTCTCGGGTCTATGTTATGCTGAATTCGGCGCGCGTGTACCCAGAACTACTGGTTCGGCTTACGCCTACAGTTATGTCACTGTTGGTGAAATATGGGCCTTTATAATAGGCTGGAATTTGATTCTCGAATACATGATCGGTACTGCCGCAGATGCACGGGCGTTAAGCGCTTGCTTTGATTATGTGATTGGAAATGTGATAAGGAATTTTACGCTGACTTACATTGGAGAGATAAATACCCCGGGTCTAGGCACCTATCCTGACTTCGTATCTTTCATCGTTACCATCATCGTAACAATCGTATTGGCTATTGGTGTCAAACAATCGTCAACGTTCAGTACTATTTTCAACATTTTAAACGTTTTGGTTGTGTTGTTTGTTGTGGTAGCAGGCATGTATTTCGTTGATACAAAAAACTGGACAGAAGGACAGGGTTTCTTTCCATATGGAGCCTCGGGAGTGTTGAGTGGAGCAGCGACATGCTTTTACGCTTATGTTGGCTTCGATATCATCGCCACGACGGGTGAAGAAGCCAAAAACGCGCCTAAATCTATACCAGTTGCTATAGTTGTATCCCTAGTAGTCATATTTGTGTGTTATTTTGGAGTCTCTGCTGTAATTACTTTGATGGTTCCTTTCGATCAGCTCGATAAACTTTCGCCAATTCCTAACGCATTCGTCCAAAGAGGATTTCCTCTCGCTAAATACGTCATTGGTATAGGGGCTGTTTGTGGCCTATCCTCGAGTCTTTTAGGCTCTCAGTTTCCTTTGCCTAGGATCATTTATGCCATGGCGTCAGATGGATTGCTCTTTAAATCGTTAGCGAAAGTGAACCCACGAACTGAGGTTCCTGTGATTGCCACAGTATACCCAGGGCTTCTGACAGCCTTCATTTCGTTGTTGTTTGATTTAAATGAGCTAGTTGAAATGATGTCCATTGGGACATTACTCGCATACACTCTAGTGTCTCTTTGTGTTTTGATCCTTCGTTATCAACCCGATGCTACTGAGGTACCTTCGACATACCTATTGCGCTTTGCAGAACCAGAGCAAGACGCCTATGAAAAACTTTCTTCACCTGATTATATTACAGACGAATGGGACTACGAAATAGCTACAAATAGAATGACCCCCCCTCCAAATGCTGCGAACAGCCGTAGGGAGTATTTAAACAAAGGTTTATGTTCGAAAGAATTGACAAAATCTGACAGAGGAAACACGAAACAATTTTTACAAAATAAACCAAGGAGAGGACCAACAGCACAGAGCTTGCGTATTGTGCAGTGGGCAGTAACTCTGATGTTTTTCTCGTTCATTGGGTTCTGTGCTGCAATAGTCTATGGTCTGGATGCCTTACAAAGACGAAGCTACGTGATTCTGATGTTTCTTGTTATTTTCGGGATCCTGATTTTATTTGCTATAGTTGTGATTTGTCTACAACCTCAAAACACCAATAAGATTTCATTCAGGGCGCCGTTTGTGCCGGCTCTTCCAATGCTCGCCATCTTTTTCAATGTGTTTCTCATGCTGAAGCTCTCCCGGTTGACATGGATCCGTTTTGGAATTTGGATGGGCTTAGGTAGGTACTTCATGAAAATTATAATGATTAGTTATCGATCAAGCAACAAATCTTCCGGCTATCTAGTGGTCTGAATAATCATAAGGACCGTAATGCACCGATGAGGGCTTGCCAAAACGCACCAATAGCAGATAACCATCATGCTTCATAAATAGAACAAAATAGCGACACCACATAATTAAATCTCGTCGAATAACGAAGACTTAGCATTAGAGTGACAATGATTAGCTCTTTTTTTTTATTTAAAAGAATCTACCATCCTTCTGTATGTTATCATTTGTCTTTCTGCAGTCAAAGTCATTAAGTTCTCCCTTATCTCATAAACAGGTGTGCTGTTGTATTTCGGGTATAGTGTTTGGAACAGTCGCGAGAGAAACAGAATGCTTCAGGGACAAAGATCATTTGACAGGCAGGTTCTGTTAGCAGAAAACCTTGATAGCATGGACATTGAATATGAGATGGAAACGATTCCAGCTCATAGGGACGATATGGAGGATGTTCCACCTAGTCCGTTTAAATGGGACAGCTTGTAAATATACAGTTATCGGTAAAACTTCGTGTCTCTTGAATGAAGATTAATGCTGCATTATATCTGGACGGAAAGCTGGAGGAGTCACGAGGAAGTGTTTGGTCGGAAAGGAAATTATATGAGGTCAGATTGGCGGCGATTTTGAGGCATGATCCCCCCACTCCTTTTTCGTTCTCTCACTCTTCAACAAAATGTGCGTGCTTTGTGCCATCACTTCATAATTATTCAACCAAGTCTTCCCTTGCCAGCCTGGGAAACACCCACACGATCTAATTTCGCATTGTGATCACACCATTCTGATACTCAACTAGTTGCAGTATCACTTTGGCGCAACGCACAGGTAAAATATCGATTAATATGACTACGTAACGACCGCATGCGTAAAATGGACATAAATTTGATTTTATTGAAAGTGTAAGCTAAGTGAATAAAGGGCTTTTTGTACGTGACATTTTATTGTTATCATAAAGTTGGTGTGAGGAACAATGCATCATTTGCGCTGTAATGACCCATGAGAGTACTTGGCCAAAGAGGGCTCACTGCCAGTTATAACTAATTTATTAGGCTCTGTAATAGTCCTCAAAAGTGAGGCTCCACTTGCTTGAATAATAATGACATGAGTAAACCATTTCCTAAACCAGCATTTAAGAAAAAAATCAAGCAAGCGAGACATGCGTCTCGTGATCATGTTTCTGGAAGGAAGAGTTTTTTAATCCCACGAATGAGGATGAGAGAAAGACAATTGACGGAAAAATCTAAACTTCGGAAGGAGAATAAGTATGCAGGTGGCAATTCTGAGACTATTTTCTTCCATTCTTCCTGACGAACTGGAACTTTTTCAAGGAAACTTTAAGATGTTCTTTTCTTTTAACAGCATTTGCATCAAGCTAATCAACTGTTGCAATCACTTACGAGAATCAACATAACCTGAGGAATGTTGAAATGCCTCTCTTTTAACCTGATAATGTTCAGGTATCCTCAAATACCTACAACGTCTGATTTCTTCGAAAGAAGCCGCCATAGACGGTTGCTTTTCTCCAACAGCTTTTTCTCGTTCTTGTTGTTTTTGTATTTCGAACATGGCAGTGCTTAAGTCGCCATCAGAACAAATTTGAGATAGGGCATGAAACCACTTCGACTTTTTCAGAGGCTCCTTTATTTCTCGAAATTTGACTGGCTTGTGGAATGCTGAAAGTTGTGTTTTTAGGGTAAAGGCTGTTAAATTACCAGCAAAAATTTTGTCGTCCGAGGCCTCGCAAACGTTTGACATGGATGATGCGCGAGTCCTGTTGGCGATTCGTCTGTCTACACAAGGCGAAAGGGTCATTTGGGTATCGCAGCCTTGCTCTTTCGACGTTTCATTCGGCGGGTTGATTTTAAAATCCATTGCACTTTCTGCCACCTCGAAAGGGTCCCACAATGGTTCTAACACCTTTGAGCAAGTTTGTAAAGCTTGATGAATATCACCTGTGGATCTACGTTGGATTGGAACATCATCAATTGACAGAAGATGTCGAGTTTGCTTTTGACTAGATGAAAGTGGCACGTGATCACATACTTCAGCAAAGTTAATCCTATTGAGATTTTTTTGCCCTGTGGTTCCCTTTTTAGGATCATTATTGTTTTCTCTTCCTAACTTTTCTGCCGCAGGTTCTAAAAAGCTTTGGCTCCTATTAACCTTGTAAATTCCTATGCAGCCTGAGCTCTGTTCTTTCAAATTGCTATGCTCGTCAACCCATGGGTTAAAGGCCACAAGCCTTGCGCATACCCTAGCCCTGTTCAATTTGGGGCTTCTGTAAATTTTGCTGTTGTCCAAACAGTTAGCATCATTTGAGATGATGGTTGAACCAGACGAGTTTCGCTCTGGTTGGAGAGGAGGGGTTCGAGAAGTTGACTGCAGTTTTGGTGATGATGGAGTCAGGGAATTACCTCAAGACCCATCAGAGACAAGTAATTTCGCTTCATTCGGAAATAACTGTTCTTGTTTTTGGGCTTTCAAAATATCTGCTTGCGTTTCATTTTGTAATTCCTCTTCAGAGTAAATCATACCACTTGGTGTATCGGTCCTTTTCAACCCTGAATTTCTGGGCGCTGAGCTGGTCTCGTTTTCTTCTTCCTCCACCGAGGAGACCACACCACCGGGCGTAATCGTCTCCTTCAATTGGAAGCAACTTGACGTAGCGTGCTTCTCTTTTTCCCCATTTTTTCCATTGTCAACAATAACTTTAACTGTCTTGGTTCTCTTTGAGCGTGGACTTCTTGGCTCTATGTGTATCTCTTTTTCGCTCTTCTTCCTAGTGTCAATCTTAATATTTGGTATATCAGCCCGCTTTAATTGTGAAGTTGATAACCTAGGGTCTTTGTTTATCTCTTTATAACCTTTCTCCCCAGAATCAAATAAAGCCTGAAGTGTATCGGCCTTCTTCAATTTTGGGCTTCTGGCCCCTGTGCGAATCTGTCTCTGCGATCGTTTATCTCCAGAGTCAACCATGGCGTTGAGTTTATGGGCCCTCCTTAATTGTGGACTTGTGGACACTGTAAACGTCTCTTTTTTGTTTTTCTGCCAACAATCAACCACGGCAGTGACTGTATTAACCCTTTTTAAGTGTGGACTTCTAGGTCCTTTGGGCACTTCTTTCTGTCCTTCCTTCCCTTTGCTGACCATATCAGCAATATCCACTTTCACCAATTGTGTACTTTTGGATTGCGTGGAGACTTTCAACTTATCCACGATCGTGACATCGGTAGGACTGTTTGGTTCTTTGCTTAAGCACGAGAGGCTTTTTGCTCGCCGAATAACAGGGCTTCCTTGTTGTTTTGCTGAAGTTAGCACTTCTTTCTCCTTTGCAACCATTTGTTCCATATATGATGTAGTTTTCAGGTTCTCTTTAGTCATAATCATGTTTCCTCTTTCCACCGCTGAATCAAGCGCACCCGAAGTTATTGCTACTTTTCTGAACGGTTGACTCACAGCCGCCTTGAAGTTTTTGCTGTGAGGAACAGTAGAAGCATTTGTGTTCCCTGGAAGTTTGGTAAAGCAAGCCACTGGGTTCATTGCCCGCAGAAATTGAGGACTGGTACTTAATTGCACATTGTCAGGTGCCCTAAATATTACTGGAGTACCTACATGACCAACGGATTCCCGCTTCATCACGAGATTTTCCTCCACAACTTTGTAGATGGACCGGGTGGGAACACGGAGGTTCTCTTTTTCTTCCATTTTCTGAGGGTTTCCTTTAAGATGATTGGCTGGAATGGACTCCTTTATCTCTCTTGAGACTGTTATAGATGGTACTGAGAGAGATTGGTTGAGACTCTGACTTTCAGCAGCTTGTTCATCGGGTGAATTGCTTAGAGGTCTAATAAAAAAAAATTTAAAAAAAAAAACAGTTTGCTCAGAACCTTTAGGGAAGAATTTTTCAGGCCTCAGAAAGTACATCATCAACCAGAATTTAACCTACTTTGATTTTGCTTGAGTTGGAGAAGTGTCAGAATGACCTGTTGTGCTGATCCTTTCAGGCTTCCCACGTTGCAATGTGTTCTTCAATATTCTTAATGGAGAAGAAGTTTCTTGCTGGTAAGATATAGAGAAGCGAATGTTTAGTACTTAAGTGTTCGCGGTACATAGGGAAACTCAAGATGTTAAAAATAGAACAAAGAATTCATTCCATACGAAGATGGTTTGCATATTTGTACAGTTATCTGTTACCCAAATACATTCAACAGGACAGGGTTGCCCACAGGTGTATCATGAGTAGCTCTGGTTTGTCTTCGATCCAAGTTCTTACTCCTTCCGTGCGTTGACATTGATTAATGCATTCCCAAGTTTGAATTGGCTATTGAACCGCTTTTAACTTTGTTTAACTTAAGGTTGCTTAGCTCCTTTATCATTTAGTTAAATTCTTTATATCAAAACCACTGAGCCGGCTTTAGATAAATATGTGGAAAATACTGGCTGTTCCCAATTAAAAAAAGATGCGTACCACCCATCCAGCCCTGGTGGAAACTAATTTTAATTTCCTTCTCCAGGGCCTTAATCAGATTTTTCATTTTGTTGAATCCCCCAGAATGGAAAATTAATTTGGCAAAATTGTATTGTGCTAATTCCTTCCCGAACAGTTCGAAATGAACCATATGTGCAATACGTGCTGGTCTATCTATTATCGCTGTCATTTTCTACTCATGTCGAAAACTGTTTACTCATTGTGAAAGCAGGAATGCCTGCAGTTGGGTAATGGTATTAGTAAATATTTTCCGTTTGAAAGTAGGCACTTTTACTATATAGTCCAAGAATCGAACCCTTTGAGTGACTACCATCTAATATTCCCCAAATCACCTCTGAATCAAACATCAAGAATCAAACATCAAGATCACGAGAATGAAGGAAATGATCAGTAACTAAAGCTAAACTAAGCTCTAGACTTGACTCAAATTCTCAGTGTCTGCCCCTTACGAAATGTATAGAGACTAGTATGAAGAATATGCACACTGATATTAGGGTATAAAGGTTAATCAGGTGCTGTGTTCATATCAAAAACGTGCACAGCATCTCGTTCAATTAAGCCAAAAGTTCGTATCGTCCTTCCATGTGAACATAATGACTTCCAAAATCCTTTTATTTCAGCAATAAAGCATTCGTGTTTTCCCTATAATTAAGCTATTGATGTTATTAAGACAATTGTAATCTCTTTTCAGTGTTTTTGAGTAGGGATCATTTCCTTTTTTTCTGCAGGCGCCAAGAAGACTACCAGCTAATCCTTCATTAGCTAATGGGCTTACTATCAATAAAAACAATCTTTAACACTAGTGAGCACAACTGGTCCGTTTTTCTCCATTCACGCACGCTTTTGAGTAGTTAATTTGGGCTGGAAGCGACAATGGAACTTAGATTTCATGACGATTTGTGTGCATTGTGCGATTGGGGCAAGTAAATACACCTTGACAATATGTAGGAAAACTAATTTGAGCCCACACACTTAAATATCGAATTTATTAGATTGGCGGTGAGATAGTTCATGTTTTATCTTTCATTTTCAATTTACTTCTGCTTTATAACAACAACAACAACAAAAATAACCACTGCTTTAATCAGAGTGACATGTTGGACAGCCCAGTGCTCAGTTAACTTCGCTTAAAGTGTCAATTATAGGTCCTGAACAGGCTATCAAGATGTTAGCTTCGGGTAAATATTCAAGGAAAATCTTTTGTAATAGCGCGTCAATGAGATGTCTTTTGAGTAAGCATATTAAACATGTCGGAATATGAGAACAACAATTACAGAGGTGTTTTCTTGGGTTTACCGATTTTTGTGGCGGCGAGGAATAATAGTTTAGAAGTAACAATTAAAACTAAAAACTTCAGTGGTTTAATTTTCACTGGTCTTTTTTTCACAAACCCAACTGTTTTGTATAGCGGCACACAATACTCTGCTTAGTAAGATTTATAGCGT